ACACTTAAGTCAACCACAGATGTAACTAACATCTAGACGTAAATTAAAAATTTGTAAACTGATTTAATGCAAAAATACAATGTAGGAGACTTGGGTTACTTCATAAACACAGAATTAGTGCTCACTTCGGCAGCACATATACTAAAATTGGAACGATACAGAGAAGATTAGCATGGCTAGATGACACACAAATTTGTGAAGCGTTCCTTGTTTTTGTATCAAACTTGAGCTTTAAACTGTTTGAAGCATTATAAACATTCATTTCACAACTAGATTGTATGGCTGTGATGAGATTCACTGCGTGACTTTTTTCAGTGGTGAACTTAACCCCTCATCCCATCCAACAGGCACATGTTAAAAGAGCATTGTTGTTGGTGTTAATGGGGGAATGTGTTCCTTCATTGTCCGTGGGCCTTTTGTATTGCACTCTTGATATTAAATGTGCCTTCAAAAAAAATAAACACAGAATTAATGAGGCACGATAATAATATATGCCTTTATTCTTCCTTAGTACTAGAGATCAAAGTCAGGGGCTCACATCCCCCAACCCTTCTGTATTTTGCTTTTGAGATATGCTAACTTGGGCAATGGGCCGCGACAAATTCTACACATTCACATACAGTGAGACCAAAAGAGAATAGTCTTAGGAGAAAATCACAAAGGTGTAAGACCCAAGCGCCTCTTCATACATAAATAATATACTGAAATGAACTCCAAAGATAGGGAAACAAAGGTCTTTTTTCTTAAAAAAAAAAAAGTTAACTTGGTATCTGACACTTGCTTTTTGCTCATTGGCTAGAATTGTATGACTTGAACCATGCTTCCTTTCATTAATTATTTTTGCCAGTCCTGGGATTTGAACTCTTATCACTTGAGCCACAGAGCCACTCCCAGCTTTTTCTGTGTATGTGCTACTGAGGAATTGAACCCAGGGCTTCATGCATGCTACACAAGCACTCTACCACCAAGCCACCTTCCCAGCCCCGGTTCATTAATTTAAAGGAATAGAAACAGGGACTTAGCACATGGATGAGTGCCTCGGTCTAGCGGGAGAACCAGTTTTTGTTATTTTTTGGTAGTACTGTGGTTTGAATTAAGGGCACTTGTTAAGCAGTTGCTTTTCCAGTTGAGCCACACTCTCAACCCTTTTTTTATGTTAATTACTTTGCTGATAAGTTCTCAATTTTTTGCTCCAGGCCAGCACTGGATGGAGATCCTCAGATCTACGCCCTTCCTATTGGGATTACAGGCACATACTACCACACCTGGCTTATTAGTTGAGAGGGAGTCTTGCTTTTTGCCTAAACTGGCTTTGAATGCAAATCCTATTGAACTCTGCCTCCTCAGTAGCTGAGATTATAGGCGTGTACCATAATGTCCAGCCAGAAGTTCTCAAGTATCAAAAATCACTTGTGAGGGCTGGGAATGTGGCTTAGTGGTAGAGTGAATGTACGAAGCCCTGGGTTCAATTCCTCAGCACCACATCAATAGAAAGAGCTGGAAGTGGTGCCGTGGCTCAAGTGGTAGAGTGCTAGCCTTGAGCAAAAGAAGCTCAAGGACAGTGCCCAGGCCCTGAGTTCAAGCCCCAATACTGGCAACAACAACAGCATCATTTGTGATACACAAAGGCCTTTTCAGTTTACATTCATGATGTCTTCTCAAGGGTGAGTCATAATTCTAAAAGGACTGGAGATCAATGAAGGCTTCCCCATAGTCTTTTTTTTTTTTTTGCCAGTCCTGGGGCTTGCTGTCACTCCTGGTTCCATGGAATATGGCTAGATGCGTCTCCACCCAAAGGCCCTTCTTCAGGCCCCCAGCCTTTCTGTGGCACCGCAGAGCTGGAAGAGCCCAGGGCATGATTAGGGGGTTATCTATAGCTTTGTATTTACTAACAGATACCAGGAGTTTATCTTTAGCACTTTTCACAGACCACATTTGGTTCTGATTTTTTTTTCCTATTTTGTCTTTTTTTGTTGTTGTGAAAATACTGTACAGAGCGGTTACAATTACATGGGCAAGATAATGAGTACATTTCTTATCAAGCATTGTAGCCTCCTCCTTTGTTTCCCTTTTCCATCCTCCCCCCCCCCCCCACCTGACTATTTGAAGAGCAATACAGTGAATGCTTAATCTCACAGCTTGACTATAACTGTAATCACATCAGTCAGAGGGCTGGGCAGGTGGCTAACACCTGTAATCCTAGCTACTGGGGAGACTGAGATCTGGTGATCATGGTTCAAAAGTCTGACTCCCCTCCAATGAACCATGCAAACAAACAAACAAAGCTGAAAGTGGCGCTGTGGCTCAAGTGGTAGAGCGCTAGCCTTGAGCACAAAAGCTCAGGGACAGCACTCAGGCCCACAGTTCAAGCCCCAAACCCGGCAAGGGAAGTAGGCCTCAACCTTCCTAGTAGTAGGATTACGGGCATGAGCCGGAGCGCCTAGCATACGCTGCCTATTGTTGTTGTTGTTGTGTTTAATACTGTTTGCAAGTAAACGACTTTGTAAACACAATATCTGTCATATTTGAGGAAAAATAACTTTTTTTTTTGTCGGTTGTGGGGCTTGAACTCTGGGCCTGGGCGCTGTCCCTCAGCTCTTCAGCTCAAGGCGAGCG